GCAGCGGCGTACACAGCAAGTCTTGGAACCACAATTGCGTCGCAAAAGTACAGGAGGCCACTCCACTTGCCGAACAAGATATCGATTACATCGTTAAAGTTCCGGCAAATGGACTCCCTGGATCGACCAAACGTTGCCATCATGTCGTACAGGGAACGACGCTGAATAAGACCGCTACACCTATCTGTGGTTGGTCTGAGGGCATGAGAGTATTGTCCAATCAGGGACAACTGACTTTGGAATTTCGACAAAATTGAATAAAAATTTTAAGCTCAGAATATACATTCTGCAAGGTTATAATTGCAAAAAAAATTATTCTCATACGTTGGAGTTGATTTGACGCCATGTTCTTGCAGGTTATTAATCGTTAAGATAGATCATTCATTTCAAATCCCCAGTGACCGGAGCGCCACAAAAGTGTGTCATTAACTTAGCTAGGGGACCCACAAAATGTGGCATGACCAGTCAAAAGTTAAAAAAACGAATACTTTATACAAGTCAGAAATAGAAAAAAGTATACGGTATGGACCAATAGAACTACAAGGCATAGGATACATCTCCCCCCCATTGTCTCCCCGTAGAACAGGTGGATAGGGAGCCGCGCAATGCTCACTCCACGAAATCCGGTATGTCCGTATTGAACTTATGTGCAAAACACGAGTACCGGTCATGTCAATTGGCCCCGAGTTTAATCCAAGTCTTTTCTATTTCATACAAGAAACTAGTCAAAAATAATAATTTCTTGAAAAGTCAAACCAACACTCTGAAAATTACAAACGCTCTGCATTCACATTACTTTGGCAACGCCTTGACGAAGCTGGCACGCACTTCAGCTTCAGTGATCATATCCCAAGCCTGGATAGCACGCTTGATCATCACAATTCGTTTTTACTTGGCTGTTGTCGCAGAGGATTGATTCAAAACCCACAAGTCTCGCAAGTGTTGTTTAAATGGCCCCATGATGGACACATCCAGCGGCTGGCAGTGAGAAGTGCTGTTCGGTGGCAACGCGCAGAGTTCACATTCTAGCCTTCACCAACAATCCTATCACTCTCATCACTTACATGAGAGTCGAAGTTGTCCGCCAAGAGAACCGACGGGTCCTCGATATGCAATGCCAATACTTCCCGCAGATAGTACCGCCAAACAGTGCCGTTCATCCAGGCTTTTTCCTGTATGGCGTAGTAGTGACCGCGTGGATACTCAGCAAACTCGTTCAACTCGATGGCACCATCGGCAACCCCACGGGTGACAAACAAGATGGGCAGCTTGACACCATCACCACGAACCGTGAGCAAGGCTGTCATACGGTACGAGTGTCGCTCCGAGTTCGATACGTAACTGCCGCCGCCGCGCACTGCCCGAATGGTGTTCGGACACATGTCGTACGTGATTCCAGTTTCATCGGCATTGAAGACACAGTCCATCGCAACGTTGGGATGGTCCGTGTGGAACTGCTTGGCAAAGGCAGCACGAGTCTCTTCCAGGTCCTTTTGCGACTTCTTTTGCCGGCACACAGTTTGCTTGGAGAATCCATGACGGTCAGCGAACCGCTGGAGCAGCCGCAGGAGCGCGTTGTACTCATTCTTCCTCGTCGCCATGTAGTCTTCGATCCATGCCATGTGGTCGACCCGAAGGAACTGTATCATGTGGGCAGATGTCACGACCATCTCCTGACGTCCTTGGTCCTTGAGGTATGTGACCAGCTCACGTGATTGGGGGATGATGGGCTTACCACCGCATGTGCCAGTGTTCTTCTTCCGTGTCTTGGATCCCTTGAACGACATCATGGTGGCCTTCGTTTGTAGCCAACGACGCATGCACCTTGACGAGTAACCAGTTGTTACAGCTGCACGCTGAACGGATGTTTTCTCCGCCAAGAGCACAGCATTGAGCTTTTGTGCAAGCTTTGGGCGCTGTCGACGCTTTGGCGTTGCAACGTCCATGGGCAATGGTGGTGGATTTTTGAGTTACAAGGTTATCAAAACGTACACAGGGAAGTTGGCTTGAAAATTGCCGGGAATAAATTCAACCAATAGAATTCATCCATTTGATTAAATCACTTTTGATTGGATAATTCAAACAGGTATTCCGAGTTTTTTGGCGCGGCCTTATTCAGCGTTGTTCCCTGTAGTAGCGGCGGGGATAGGACATTCGGAACAGGGTGATGCAAAGGGCTTCGGTTGCAAGGCAGCGATCGCGTGAAGCAGTGATGATGACGGCAGGGAGTTGGAGAGCGGTCACAGAGCGCTGAATGTCAACGACGTCAAAGCGAAACTTAAGTCGGGAATCCGCTAATGGTGTGGAGTGAAAACCGCACGTCGGGCACAATAGGGCGCTCAACAGCAAATGCAAGAAGCTCCAGAAGTCGCATGCGCTGCCTGAATGTGCTGGTGCGCCTCTTCTTGAGGAGGACTTCAAGCTCTTGGCACGAGAACATGGCGAATGCCTGCACACGTAGCCAGTTCTTTCTAATTGGTTGATGTTATCTGGATACGTATAAGAAGTTTGCAGCGGATGATGTGCGACATCTTTCACCACGATCTGTTCTAGTATCTGTGTTCTGACTTTTGGGTTGCGGATAAAATACGGCATGCATTTGCGAAATCTGTCTTTTAATTTTGTATGTGTTTGGCCCAGTACACCTGTCGAACTTTTCGGGGTTCTCATACTGAAGTGTACTCACGGAGAGTTCCTATCTAATTCAGTCGTCGTCGATGCTAGGTAAGATGTAG